TCTTAATTTGTGTTCCGAAGATGACTGAAAGTCTTACGGGTTTGGAACGACATGAGGGTGAGTAATTAATGACAGAATTTTCATTTTTGGGTGAACTATACCTTTAATGCTAATCGTTTGAAAATAATGTACCACCTACACTAAACCTGACCCTAAACCTAACCGGTAGTTTTTTTTACAAAAAAAAACATTTACAAAAACAAATGTGAGGTATACACCGATTTACTGAAGCAATCATGCCATTTTAGCTTGCTTCAAGTCTTTGAGCTGTTTACTTATGACTTGTGTTTGATGGGACTCATTCCACATCACAACTGCAATGCTGTACCAGGTGAGCTACAGAGCAAGTTTACTATATCAGAAAAGTCATATATATGAATCTGGATATGTGATTCAATCAACAAAATGTATTGCCCTGTACTCATAATTTGTGTGAAAATTGCGTGTTCATTTCAGCTGAAAACTGCAGCAAATTGTTTGTACAGTATAGATACATTTTTGTAGTTTTGCAAAAATGTTGGTAGAGGCACGTTTTTCCAATGAACCATGGTTGATTGTGGTATATGGAAGCTTAAATGTACTTGCTTAACGCAAAAACGAATTAGGCTTGTTCTCACGTGTCAAGCAAGTATGGTTACGCTTTCCTTTACCATATTTGACTGCAAAAGTTTTACAGTAATATTAATACAGAAGTCCTCTGAAGTGATTTTAAGTAACTGAGATGCAGGATTATGTCAATTGTGTTAGCATGAAATGAGAGAGTGAATCCACACCATAATACAATATATAAATAACATGAAATACTAAATCACCAAGAAATCAGAAATGTGCAGAAATTACAGTTAAAAAAACGTATTTTCTGTTTGACTAAACCTCTTCATATGTGTGCATGTAAGGTGGAGGAAATGTGCACTGAGAGCAATTGCACTAGGTAATAAATTGACCCACCAAACACCTCTCAGGCTGTGAGACGATCTCACTTCTTTCAACATCTGATGAAAGAGAGAAAGAGAGGGAAAGCGACAGAGAGAAAAAGAGAGAGAGGTGTACAGGGAGCACAGATGCCGGAGCAGCAGCACTGAATTGCAGAGGAGACGCTGTAGGGGAATGAAATGAAAAGCAAGAGGGAGAGAAAGCAGGGGGTGTAATTGTAGTTTAAATGTGTGTTTTAGTCAGAGATGGAGGTAATAGGTTATTATATGCCTCTGGGGACCCGTGTTAGAGCATCTGCAGATGCTCAGAGAAACCGTTCAGTCTCCCGCGTCTTCCCTCACCACCCGTGATGAGGCAAATACGAACGCGATGGGAGGCAGCTGTAAATACCTGCCCGAGCTTCCCGCCTCATGTTTAAAAAGTGCCTCTCTACCCCCCATACGTGGAATGAATATGCGAGCATCTGCGAGTAGCATGTCCAACACTCATGGCTCCATCTCACAGAGAGAACAATCTTCCTCCCTGGAACATAAATGGAGCTTTGTGTGTCTTAACAATAGTTATCATACATGCCGGAGAGCCACTTATTCAAATGACTGAACAATTATTTCTCAATTTGTTTGCAGAGGAATGCTGAATGTTGAGAGGATCGTGTGCTAAGCTAATGTGTTACAGAGGGTTTCCACAATGACAGAGGAACTTGTCGATTAAGCCGCCAGGCCTTCTTAAATGATATGCCATGTCTATAATGGAATGCTTTTATTATGTATATATGTATATAATGCATAACCATATTCTGCATCCTTAATCCTACCCAATACCTAAACTTAACAACTACCTTACCGACTATTATTAAGCAGTAATTAGCAGTTTATTAAGGCAAAAGTCATAGTCAATATTTAGTTAATAGTGAGAACTGGACCTTTATTCATATATATATATATATATATATATTTTTTTTTTTTTGTGTGTGTGTGTGTGTATGTGTGTTTTTTACTTGATTAATTGATTAATCCAGTTCTCATATTAACCAGCTAATTTACATGTTAGCACATGATGCAATTTAAGTTTTGTTACATTCATTCATTCATTCATTTACAGTAGAATAGCATCTTGTTTTGTCCAAAAACTGTGATTTATACACGGTATGTAAATATTATTTTTATTTATTTATTTATTGTTAGAAACATCTTAATATGCCGAGACAACTATGAGTAAGACAAAACAATTCTTGCAGAGATTTTTATTTTTTCATATATACAGTCGAAAATTGAAAATTTATACCTACACATACATATCTTGCTGAATGTAACCTAATGTCACATTATTAATTTCTTCGCAGTTTCTATCTCTCTTTCTCTGTGGTAACACTTCATTAGGTTTAGTGGCTGCACTGTATCTGTCCTTCAGGTTATTAATGCAAATAAATAAGGCACAGTGGAACCTGCTGTAAGGGAACTCATTTGTCCTACCTGTCAAACTGATGGATCCAGTTTTGTACAATCATGCTTTTTTTAGCATCCTTCTAATTGTCTCTCTCTCTCTCTCTCTCTCTCTCTCTCTCTCTTCCTCTGTTCAGTGTGTCCTCTCAACAGCAGTAAGCCCCATGAAGCTCAGTTCGGTTGCTTAGCTCTGAGAACAGAGAGCGAGGGAGAGAGCGACGGACCCCCGGCTGAGAGGTCTCCTGCTCTAATAGCAGAATCGGATTAGAGAAAGTCCCCTAGCACGAGCAGTGAGCGACCGTGTGTGAAAGCTCTGGCTGTCATCAATATCGCTGCAGCCACATGGAAAGATCCTTCAGCAAATCCAATTGCATGCCATGAATTCTGAGGTCCCAGTAGAAACTTCTCTGGCCTTTTTTCATTTTTTATTCGATTCCTCAGGAGAATATTCAGCAATCATGTCAATGTAATGTATCACACAGAGGCAATCACATAGTTCTCGAGTTCAGGACTGGAGGCAGAAAATGCAACTTTAGTACTTGATCTTCGTGCCGTACAGTGACGGTATGCCAGTCAATCCAATAGACCATCTCTCATATGTTGCTTCATTTGATTATCCTACCGAAAGCAATACCTTTCATAATTCACATATCTGGATTTACCTTTCCATCACCTAATTTAGCCCCGTATAACTACTAAAGCGACTCCATCTTTGGCTATAATGGAAGTTATTTGTTTTTATTTCTACACAAACATTATAACACAGCTTTAGAACAACACTGCTTGGCATGCCTGTGTTTTGAGAAAATAATATATTTTTAAAATATTCAAAATTCCATTAATACATATATAAATAGTATAGTACATATATATATATATATATATATATATATATTAGACTGATGTAAGATGTGAAACCTTATGAAAAACGTGGATTTAAAAAGGGCTGTTAGTAAAAAAAAAAGTAATAATGTAATACTTAATTGTTTAATTAGTCTATAGTATTTTTTTCTATATTTTAAAGTTATTTTCCACTAACCCCAATGCATCCCCTTGTGGCCCCCAGTATTAAAACCCCTGCATTGCTGACCAATTTTCATGACCCAGCAAACACCAAAGAGGACCTTAGTGGGAACATCTCGACACAGGAACAAGTTCCTGGTGTCTCCTCTTGATAACGGCCCTAAACTACAGCTTTCTTACGACCACTGTGTGATACATTAGATTGGTTCAAGTCATTTCCAATGTATGGTACACTAAATTTAAAAAAGGTTTGCTATGAAGTAACTGAAAGCACCACAGCTAACCTCATAAATATGACACGAGTGTCCTTATTATCTTGACCAAAACACATCATAGTAAATGGTCACAGCACAGTCTCAGCGAGCGGCTTGAAGTGTCCAGCTGCCCTTGGGAGAGTGAGACAGAAAAATTAATAGACAAACTCTGACCTAGAGAGCAGAGGAGGGGGGAGGGAGGGCTGTGTTTTTTAGAAAGCTCTAAGGGAGAGGGTGGTCGGCATTACTATGTGATTGATTCCCTGGCTGTGTTTCCAGAGGGCTGGACTGATCCCGGGTCAGATGAAAATGTTCCAGCTTAAGATCACACCCTGGATATAGATGCATCTGAACCAGCCTCAGGCGTCCATTCCTTTAACAAGGGCACCGTAGCTTTACTGCCCTTGCAACAGTGTGTCTCTGCCATGAGAAGAAATGCAATACTTTATTCAACAATAACTTAGCACATCTATTGTGCAAAGAAAAATATGGCATTTCTTCACAGTTTTTGTGAAATGGTCAAGTACGAATAATGAGTAATGTGTACAGTTAATGAATAAAACAATTAATTTTCACATGCAACAGTTGCTACACTTTATGCAAACACCATATAGGGGAAACCGGGGCAAATTGTCACATATATAAGATTTCAGTCAAAGTCCAATTACATGTTCTCTAGCAGTAGTTTTGCATGTAACTCTCTTAAATTAGAAAATTTTCTTTATTTTTATTATTTCTTTTATTTTGTCATTTATATATTTATCTTAATTAATTATAGGTTACATTTTCCCACTGTGACAACTTACCCCAGTTCACTGAACAACAGAAACATTTACTAGAATAAAAGTTTTGAAATCCAATCTTATCACCTATATGCCACTTTAATAAGAAAGTGTCTGCTAAAAATATGCAGCGTAAAGAAAATATAAGTGGAACTAAATGAGGCTCCTATAATGTACCGTATTTTGTCATGAGATGGATGTCTTAGGGTAAAAGCCTCTATTTATAAAAGAAGAAAAAAAAGTCTTCTAAGAATATATATGCAATGCAAATGCAAATGTAAGTGGACCTAAATGGCTTCTATATTGTAATTTTATAGCGATATGGATGTCCTGATTAAGATGGTAATATCTTAGATTATGCTGCACAGATGCTGTGTCATGTTATTGGATATTTGAAGCAATGAATTATAGCAGTTTCCGGGGATACTGCTTATTGAGCATTTTGCATCAGGCAGAAATTGAGTTTATTCGGGCTGAAACCAATTGAGCTCAGTAAACTCTAGTTAGGCTGCACAGAATTGAGCTGACTGAACAACACTTAGCTGAGTTAGCTGCTGGAGTTAATGCGAACTGAGCTGAATTGACTGGAATCTAGTAGAGCTGAACTGGGTTTGTGCTTCAGACGAAACAGAAATTACATGATATCTTCAAAAGATGCTATCTTTTGATTTAGCAAAATTGATAACAAAGGTAAATGTCATTTAGTGCCTACATGATTAAAAATGAATAAAAAAATGAAAGTCCCTATACTGGAGCATTAACATTTAGCAAATTTAATATCTTTTCAGGTTCCAGATAAATATTCATACATTTCATAAACCGATTAGTTTGCCTGGTGAAAATCTGGAATATATTAACTGTAATGCTATAAAAACAGGTGCTGGAGATTATTTTATGAGCATTTTCAGGATTTCCCTTGTTGTAGCAAACACTAATCTGCTAAAGAAAGAATTCACCCAAAAATCTTAACTTTTCTCACCCTCACAGATTTGGAGAACCTGAAGAAGATGCTCACCAAAGGATCCTCTGCAGTGAATGGGTGCCGTCAGAATAAGAGCCCAAACAGCTGATACAATAATCCACACGACTCCAGTCCATCAATCAACATCTTGCAAAGTAAAAAGCTGCGCATTTGTAAAAACTAATCCATCATTAAGGCATTTCAACTTTAAAATATTGCTTCAGGTAAAATTACCAGTCTATAATCCATAAGAATGCTCCAGTCGTGTGGATTACTTATTAATTATTGTGACATTTGTATCAGCTGTTTGGACTCTCATTCTAGCGGCACCCATTCACTGCAGGTATCTATTCCGATGAAGAAACAATCTCATCTAAATCTTGTATGGCCTGAGGGTGCGTAAAGTTCCAGCAAATTTTCATTTTTGGATGAACTATTCCTTTAATTTCTTTCAAATTCACTGCATCTCATCAGGAATGTGATGGGGTCCAACAGAGGCCCGTCTACCTATGCAAAGCCACTCAAAGTGGCGTGAAGAGACATGCAGTCATTTAGGTAAAGGTCATTTCATCTGACAACATGACAACTGTTAGCAGGGCCCGGTGTTCTGTATTTATGAGCAGGCATGTGCGCGTATATGCATATGTGCGTGCACGAAAATCCATCTTTTCTGAAAGCGAAGATGTTTTGACTTCCTTTACATATTCCATTTGAATCCGAGCTAAACAAAAAATGGAACAGATTTAGTCAGGATAGGTTTTGTATTGTTGGATAAAGGTTTTCGGCTTTCTCTTTCCATTTATACACCTATATCTCATGCTTAAATAAGCCCATCACTATGTGTACGGGGGGTGTCTCTCTGTGATAGAAGAGGAGCTTTTTATAAGCAGCGCTGGCTGTCTGGTGCAAAGTTGTATAAG